GGGTTTAGGGTTTAGGGAAGGGTTCATAGGGTTTATAGGGTTTCTTAAAGGGCTCTTCCTAAAGGGCTTCTTAAGAGGTTTATAAAGTTTCCTAAAGGGTTCCGTTTTAAAAGCGTCTCAAAAGGTTGCATGAGGGATTAGGGTTTGGGGGTTGTTTTGGAAGGTTTACAGGGTTTCCTAAGGGGTTCCTTAAGGGTTTATAGGGTTTCCTAAAGGGGTTCCTTAAGGGATTTGGGTTTGGGGTTGAGGTTTGGGTTTGGGGGTTTAGGGTTTATAGGGCTCTTCCTAAAGGGTTTCTTAGATGGTTTTAAGGGTTTCTGAAGGGATTCCTTAAGGGGTTTATAAAGTTCTTTTAAGGGTTTCCTAAGGGGTTCCATGAGGGACTAGGGATTGGGGGTTTAGGGTTTAGGGTTTAGGGGTTTCCTAAAAGGTTTCCTGAAGGATTTTAAAAGGTTTATAGGGTTTCCTGAAGAGCTTTAAAGGTTTATAGGGCTTCCTAAGGAGTTCCTTGAGGGATTAGGGTTTGGGGGTTGTTTTGGAGGGTTTAGGGTTTAAGGTTTAGGGTTTGGGGGTTTAGAGGGTTTATAGGGTTTTCTGAGGGGTTCCTTAACGGGTTCATAGGGTTTTCTAATGGGTTTGCTAAAGGGTTTCCTTACAGGGTTTGTTAAGGGGTTCCATGAGGGTTTAGGGTTTGGGGGTTGTTTTGGAGGGTCTAGGGTTTAAGGTTTAGGGTTTGGGGCTTTCCTGAGGGGTTCGTTGAGGGTTTAGGGGTTGGGGCATTCTTTAAAGGGTTCCTTAAGGCCATCAGGGTGTAGGGTTTAGGGCTTGTTTTGGAGGGTTTAGGGTTTAAGGTTTAGGGTTTGGGGGTTTAGAGTTTAAGGTTTAGGGTTTGGGGGTTTAGAGTTTAAGGTTTAGGGTAAGGGTTTCGGGTAGGGCTTGTTTTAAAGGGTTACGGTTCAGGGTTTCGGGTTTAGGGTTCAGGGTTTCTGGTTTACGGTTTGGGGATTCCTTTGTGGGTTCATTTAAGTGTTCCTATAGAGGGCGAAGGCCTTGGTTGCGGGCTTCCCCCAAAGGGGCTCCGTTGGTTCGTTCAAATTTACAAGGGTCCCTATACGAAGGGCTCCGTTTAAATTGAGTATCTATATATGTATATATATATACATATATTTGTGTATATATATATATATAGGGCTCCCGATAAACAGGTATCTATATAAAGGGCTCCTGTTGAGAGGGTCTCCATATGAAGGGTTCCTCTCATTCAAAGGTCTTGATATAAGGGGTTCTTTGTAAAGGGTCTCTTAAAAAGAGGGGTTCGTTTAAAAGGGTTTCTAAACCCTAAACCGTCTAAACCCTAAACCCTACACCACCAAAACGCTGAACCCCATGCGCTTCTATCTCACGGGGCTTGGTTTCAGGCTGAGGGGCTCGAGGGCTTCAGGGGTCAGCGGTTCGACTTTGGGGTGGATATGGTATCGCTTTTTGAGTTCCGTATATATCTTCGATAATTATACAAAAATCTGTAAGAACCTACAGAAGTTTGGAGTTTTTTTTGGTTTTGGTTTGGGGGAGGAGAAATGAACATCTCCGCGATAGACCCTGCAATCATGTAGGTGCCCGTCTAGCAACATGCAAATCTCGTATAGCAGCTAGCAAGCCGAGGGTCCATGGGTTGCTGCTTCGAGCAGCTTCTGCCAAGAGGCTTGGAAGTCCCAACTGGGAGGTGGCGATCTTGCTGAGGGAGTTGGTACCTCCGAACAGGTAGTCTCGATGCTTTAGAATCATAGCATCCAGGCTTTAGGTGGCGCAGGGTCATGGTTTATTTGGGGGGATTTAAGTATCCGAGACTATTGGAAGACATTGGAAGTATGATGTATTCCCTCTTCCGGATTTCATTTGCCATGTGGCTCTTGTGCAACATCTCGACCGAAGAGGATGCTCGTGGTTCTTCGGGGCCATGCCCCTGCTTGGCCTTAGCCCTGTGACAGATCCCAAGGGCAAAGAGCAGGGCCAGGACGGTCTCTGGGGCCGGAATCTAAATCATAACAGGACAATGCAAGGACCCAGGAACAGAAGGGAGTAGCAAGCTTTGCTAAGAGCCCTTGTGTAGATTTGTGCCTTTATGTTTCTTCGCTTGGTTTGCCCTACCGCTGCCCACAGTCCCCGAATTGCGCACGCTTCAGGCGCATGCTGGGTGACGCTGTGGGGGAGAGACACGGCGATGCATTGCCTTGGCCTCAGGTCTGTCGTCCGTCGCATCGAAGACAAGACTTCGGGATTCGCGGCTTTTCGGTTTTGGGGTAGTGGGGGCTCCGAGCACTCCGACAGAGACACGTCTCCAGGTCTCCGCGTGCCTGAAGCAGGCACGACACAAGAATCATGTGCATAGACCATGAAACAAACCTGGCGGTGAAGTATAGGGGCCTTAGTCTTTAGAGTGCGGTTTTGAGGTCTCTTATATTTGAAGCCTAAATCCTAACCCCACTTTTTACTCCTCGTTCAGGAACTCTTCTTGCTGCCTCGCTGCCCTTTCCTTGCCGAGATCCAAAGAAACCCTGAAACTCTAAAACCCTGGAGGCCCTAAGTCCCAAAACGCCTAAACCCCAAAAAGCCTACAGCCCTTTAAAGCCTCAATCCTAAACTTTCATCCTGAACCCCAAAGCCCAAGCAAACCCTAACCCTAAACCCTAAACGCTATACCCCAAAACCCTGAACCCCAAACCCCTAAACCCTAACCCAATGAGTTCGAGAAACGAACCCTCAGAGTTCCTGAACTCTGAGGCATGGCTACAGCCCACAAAATTTGGGGCTAGCGCTAGGGGTTTAGGGTTTAGCCTCCAAGGGTCACTATGAGGGAATCATCCGGGTTTTAGTTTAGAGGAGGCTGAATAACTAGCATAGATTTGGGGCCGGGGGTATATGATTTATCCCTCACCTCTCAACCCTAACCGTCAAAACTCGAGCAAACCTTCTTATGTCCTGCAAACAAAACAACTTTCTCAAAAAATCGTCTGCCGTGGAAAGCAGCTGTAGAGTCAGAAGAGCCCCCGCGAAACACGCTACAGAACCAGAAGATACAGAAAATGACGGTTTAGGGTTTGGTTTAGGGTTTAGGGTTTACGGTTAAACAATAAAACCCCACCATCACACGACCAACCACAGCCTAAGAACTCACAAACTTAGACCATGATGCTTCCAGAAAAGGCTACTTAAACCCTATCATCCTAAACCCTAAGCCCCTAAACCCACAGCCCCAAAACTAAACCCCCAAATCCTTGACCCTGAAACTTACGGCTTAGGGTTTATAGGGTTTAGGGTTTAGAGTTTAGGGCTTAGGGCTTAGAGTTTAGGGTTTAGGGTTGAACCCGATAGCCCTGAACCCTAAACCTCCATAGATCCCTTATAGTCACCCTTGTAGTAGCCTTCTGAGGAACCGCTTTTTAAGGAACCGTAAAGCCGAAACCCTAAACGCTTTTGAGAAACCCGAAACTCCTAAAGTCTTTTTTAGGGTTTAGGGTTTAGGGTTTTAGGGTTTAAACCCTGAACCCTTTTCAATCATCTTAAACTCCTAAACCCAAGAAACCCTAAACCCTGAATACCCAAGACCCGTTGAAGAAACCCTAAACTCCTTCTTTTTGTGTTGAAACCTTTAAACCCTAAACTCCTTTTTTGTGAAACCCTAAACCCTAACCTCCGTTTTTTGGAAACCCCTAAAACCCTAAACTCCTTTTGATGAAAACCAAGGACCCTAAACCCTGAGCTAGACCTTACACCCAAAGCCCTAGACCTTAAACCCTAAATCCTTGAACCTTAAACCGTAAACCCAAAGAAGCAACCCTAAACCTCAAAACCCTAAACCCTGAACCCTAAACCCTTCTAGTATCCTCTCTACAGGGCCTATAGAAAGCTCCACCCTAAACCCTAAACCCTAAACCCTAAACCCTAAACCCTAAACCCTAAACCCTAAACCCTAAAGGCCCCTTTTCTGGAACCTTTCCGGGGGCCCGGTCGCTGCAGCGCGGCCACGGCGGCCAGCACCGGACTGGTCGGCGTTGGGGTCGAACTTTGAGGGGTTTAGGGTTTAGGGTTTAGGGTTTAGGGTCCCCCCGCCCAAGGGTTCAGGGTTTAGGGTTTAGGGTTCCTTCAAGGGGGGGTAGGGTTTATAGGGTTTAAGGGTTTATAGGGTTTAAGGATTTAGGGTTGGGCTTGGGGTGTAAGGTCTAGGGTTTAGGGTTTAAGGTTGAGGCTTTAGGGTTTAGGTGTGTAGGATTTAGGGTCAGGGGTTTAGGGTTTAGGGTTTAGGGACGCCAACCTTCGGACCTGCAATGACCGATATCCAAGTATTCCGGCTTCCGGGCATGGGCCCGAAAAGCCTCATCTTGGGTCTTTAGGGTTTAGGGTTTAGGGTTTAGGGTCTTTAGGGTTCTGGTTCCCCGTTGGGGCTATACTAAAAATGATCACTGTTGGTCCCTATTGGGTTTTTATTATAACAGAAATGTAAAACTGTAGCCAAAAAGAAGGACCCGGGGTTGAGGGTTCCAGAAATCTTCTCTGCCTTTGTAGAGTCTGGGAAGAAGGGCAGAGGGTGCAGATTTCGAGCACGTCCTCGGGCATTAATTCGGGTCTAGGTTTTAGGGTTTGGGGTTTAGGGTTTAGGGTTTAGAGTTTAATCTAAAAAAACCCTAAACCCTCAAGTCCTAAACAATAATCCCTCGCTGTAAGCCCGAAAAGGAGTCTCCCTTATATCAGATTAGGGATCCTACTACAACTTAGGAAGAATTCCTTAACTACGGCCTGAGCCCTAAACCCTAAACCCTAAACTCGAACCCCGAGGCCCTAAACCCTAAACCCCTAAACCGCTAAGCCCTAAACCCTGAACCCTGAACCCTAAAAAGCCGCAGTGCGAAGGCACGAAGAAGAAAGCAAACCTCGCCAAAGGCCCCTGAGAGCCCCAGCACTTAGAGACGTACTTAAAGGGATCAGGGTTTATAGGGTTCAGGGTTTAGGGTTTGGGGTTGAGGGTTTAAGGGTTTGGGGTTTAGGGTTTAGGGTTTAGGGTTTAGGGTTTGGGGTTTGGGGTTTAGGGTTTAGGGTTGAGGGTTTAGGGGTTCCTTAAAAGGGTTCCTTAAAAGGGTTCCTTAAAGGGTT